ATTTATATACGTATAAATTTATTCACCACTTACATGCTTTGTGCGACCTCCGGCAAATCTGAAGTTGCTAGACTCGTTATCGTCCTTTGTATCGCGCTCGGTTGTGCTAATGAGACGATTAGTGATCAACACAGCAGTTCTTCTACTGCCTGATACACTGGCTGTGGTAGCCGTGCGACATGCAAGCGTGCGCAACATAACGTAAGGTTATCTATGAAGTAACTATGTATGTATGTATACAGTACCAACAGCTTCGAATAGACTTATTTATATTGAGCTATTTGCCTTCTTTTTATAAATATCTAGTTCAAATGAACCCAGCCAACCCACACAATATATTTATAAATACATATCACATTCAGAAATACAAATTAAGATTGTCCTCCATTTGTCCATATGTCCGGTATTGGGGCAGGTCGGTCCGGGTCTTTTTTCCAGTATTTTGTTCAAGAAAAATGATACATCCGGATATAGTAGAATATATGACGTCACCTATAAAAAACTATAAATACGTATTTTTTATCAACACAGTCGTATATGTCATCGAGAGGGCTTTTGTAAATATGAAAGCCATCTGAAAATTGAACATGAGACAGTATATAAAACAGCCTCAATAGTTATGGTACATAGAAGGCTATGAAGACAAGCTAAGTGAATATATACTTGAAGATAAATAGGGTATATTGCATATGTATTTATATTAAGTCCACAGAGTATATTAGTTGCCAAACGAGGTCTTTATATCCACCCGCCGGACTATCTTTTCTATGGAAGGATTTATCATCAAATATTAAAGGCGGTTCTGTTTTAGTAGTCATACATTATAGACCAGCATGTCGACGCGATATACAATCCAGCGTGTCACAACATGTTGGCGTACGGCCCACTTGAGGGGGAATGTTCATTCGCAGTCGACTTTGAAGAACGGCTTTAGGCAATTGTACTCAGCTAATACATATAGTGAAGCAAACAGTCCTCCTAAAGACAAACCGTATATTCCACCCCCTTCAGAGCAATTGCTTAAAAGAGTTGAAGAATCTTCTAAAACGTAAGAAACGTCCGTGCAAGTGATACTTGTGAGTTCTTTTATGCCTTATGACTGGTATATATATATGTGTGTGTGTGTGTGTGTGTGTGTGTATGTGTGTGTGTGTGTGTGTGTGTGTG